TATATATATATATATATATATATATATGTATGTATGTGTGTGTAAGGAAAAGGCATACGAAAAAGTCAATAGATAGAATGAAACCTGATGGTAAATTAACAAATGTAGAGTATGGCAAAAGATATTTCGTATCACAATAATAATCACAAGATGGAATAGTTTCCTTCTTAGCATCTAAATCTACCTGAAATCAAATGAAATTATTTTTTAAAAAAAAAACTATATAATTAATATTGCTAATAATTACAAAAGAGAAAAAAGAAAGTGATACAAAATATAATTATAACTGGTAGAAGTACATTTAATGGGATTCTAGCAATGTTAAGCTTTTCAACTAGACAATCCAATGGATTGTCATCTTGAACTTCAGAAAAAAAAACTCGCTTTGGTTCAATAAGATATGCAAGTTTTTTAATGACCTGAAAAGTAAAAGAAAAATTCAAACTAAATAAGTCACTCTTAAATAATTAAGATAATCAAACATCTCATAAGAACTAAAACCAAACAAAATATAACTTACGGTATCTTTCGCCCTATAGTACCATTGTGCTGTAAAATACAAGTCTCCATCAATGGCCTCAAACATTTCAACAATTTTACAAATGTAATTATCCTCCCCTTCATCTGCCTGAATATCAAATCATATGTATATAACACACCAAGATTAGAAATACCAGCAAAACAAGAAGTTAACATGCAATGTCTCAACAAGTAATTAGAAACTAATAAAACACAAATGGTTAAAAGTAATAACAGATAACATAGAACACCAAAATCACAATACAACAATATACTTTCTACCTCAAAAACAAAAGTCACACTTGTAACATTAAGAATCAAACTTCTTGTCCCAAAAAAGAACTCTCCTACAGAGTGTTCTCTATTCACAAACTACAAATAACTTCTCACTCCTTAAACACAACCTACAATCAAATCAATACTCTTCATACATAACCACCATAAAGTATTTTCTATAACTAACTATTGGATACTATCATATACCTATTCAATAATTATAATCTACAGATTTTGAAAAGCCTAATATAATGATTCATTAGTGATCATACAAGTTTGAGAACCTACATCATCACAAGTCACACGATTTAAATAACTAAATATCCATCACACTAGACAACAAAGTAATGGAAGACGCAAACCAAAGAATACAAGCACGATAATATATATATATATATATATATATATGAAAAAAAATCATCACATTTGATAATGAAACACTATATCTAAGGATGTTTTGTTTGAAGCCAACCATACCAATACCAAGCCAGATTATTTCATTGGTAACAAGAGCATGGACCACGCTCATATTTCCAATAACACGATAACAAAAGTACAAAGGCAAATTAGCAACAAAGATAACAATTATTAAAAGTGAAACTGAAGTAATATGTTACATTAAAATACCAAGTCAAATTGCAACTAAATGAACAGATAATATTAATTGTAGCTTTTTTGCGAATTTAGAGGTTTTCCTAATATCACCGAAAAAGTAAATTCAACATGTAAAACCCCGATATCAATCTATATTTGACCAATTATCATTTCCAATAACATAACGATTAATTCCCCCCGTAGTAGATTAAAGTGATTTCTCGTTTTAAGCCCGATTATTTTCCCACATACTTAGAATCATAAAATGAGACAATGACATTATTTAAACCTGAACCACGAACATGTTTAAATATAAATGTTACAGTTATGTTACATAAATATATAACTCACTTTAACATGGGCATCATCGTACAGTTTATAGAGCATACATCCATCTACTTCTGCTTGAGTATAGTGACGTCGAGCTTGAATAATCTCATCGTCTTCGTTACTGTGCAAACGAACAGTCAAAAAATAGTCAGAAAAACGCGACTAATAACAATGAATTCCAAAGAAAGTGAAGTGATACGACAATTACCAATGTCAAAGTCCCCTTAAGTTCTAACAAAACATACCTTTTTGACTTTGATGCTGTGGAATGCTTCTTATCCTAAAAATAAAGAGGGGTGAGAACAAATATTAAAAAAACACTGACTGTAAACGAAGATCAACCATAACTGACGAACATGAAATCAAAATTAAATTTTAATGGATAGAAAAACATACTAGAGAAACTATAGTTGGCTGTTACAGAGTTGGGACTGAAAACAAAAGTCATTAAAATAAAAATAAAAAATAAAAAACTATAAACGTTACTGTAAATAAATGTAAAAGAACTCTTTGACACTGGAAATACATATAATATATACTATAAAAAATAATTATGACACTCAGTTCAGCTCGAAAAGTAAAGTCTAAGTCAAATTTTAACGTTACTAAATTTCAACTAAGTATTAAAATTTATTGATTTTATGTTAAGCATTATATAATTTTCTATCTACCATTTTAATGATGGAAAAAACTGTATTCTAATATTAATAACTACACATTACAATATATAAATCAGTAAATTGTTTATAAATTTTAGAAATGATAATTAAAAATAAAAATTGGATACAAATTTATTAAATTTTAGAAAAACAGTACTGCCGATTACAATTAATCAGTGATTTAATATCATTTTCATTATTTCTTAAAGTATGATTATGGACACTTTGCTATGTTTCTCTATATATTTAAGAGACTCATATTTCACTTTTATATGTATTTTTCTATCCTCTTTTCTTATTTGAAACACGCATAGTGTTTTATTTTTAATTTAGAATATCGTTAAAAAAACAAATACATTGAACCCGAAATCCATTATTGAACCTAAATAAACCTGGTAATCAAGAAAACAATACCACAAGCTAGACTGTTCAGCCAATATCAGTACTCATTTCTCTCTTTTCCATTTACACATTCAGCCAATAATAACTTCACTCATATAAAAGAATAAAAATAACAATGTTGCATTTCCAAAAAAATATCTAAGACTGATATTCAAAAAAATTAAAGTCAGAACTATGCAGAACCTAACATATAGGAAGCTCCACATTTAACTACTTTCGCGGACATTAGTAAAAGTGAAGTTACCTTTTGCTGGTAGCGTTTCGGCCAGCGCCTCCTGGCTTCTTCTTCGGGAAGAGGCTCCCCTACGAATTTTGAGCACTGCTCTTCGGCAGCGGAGGGAGTTGCGGGAGCTTCCTCGGCGGAAGGCAAGGATCTGGTGGTTGCGCGTTTGGCCGGAACGGTGACGGCAGCGGGAGAAGAAGATGATCTTGATTTACGCTTGCTAGACATGATGATGGCAACGGAAAGAGAGGGATAAATTGAGAGATTAGGGATTCGAATATGAAAGAGCGCGACAATGAGTAAATGGAAGGGAGGTATTTATAGCAGTGAACGCTGAAAATTTGAAGAGAGAGGGACTAGGCGGGAATGCCAAAATTTTCGCATTTCAAGTGAAACGACACAACTTTGTGTACAGAAGGTGTCCAACGTTTGTGCGATTTATTGGTTAAACAATTGAGCTCGTCAAAATTATTTACATACATGGTTAGTGGATGGTTGCTATAAATGATTTTGGGAATGTACATAAATATTAATGGGAAATGAAAGATTTTTTATAGTGTTAATTAAGTAAATTAAGGTAACATAATATTTTTAAGTTCAAAAATATTAAATTTTTATCTTTTTATAAAAAAAATTTAAATGATATATTTTATTATTATATAATTATTTTTAAAATTTTAATTTAAGAGATAAAATAATATTGTTATTTTACATTTATTAATCGATTGTAATATTAACATATTTGTATATTAAAAAGTTATGTGATAAAAATATATGAATTGATCTTTTATTTTAAAAAAAAAAATTTTTTTCTAATTTATGTTATGATATTTTTATTAAGGATGTATTTTTATTTTATGGTGTATTAGCTAAAATTTTATTGTTTTTAATAAAATTTGATTTTCTTACTTAATTAATTTATATTTAATTACATTTAAAAAATAAGACTTAAAAAATATGTATAAATATATTAAATTTAATTTTTTTATATATTTTAGATTTTATATATATAAGCATATAATGACATATATTTATATGAAATTAAAAATACATTTAAAATACATTTATATTAAAAAAAATATTTTAACATAACTCGTGTAGTGAAGGACATGAATTATTAGTTTAATTATTACACTTGTTAAGCATTTAATAATATAAACAACGAAACAATAGGTCATACAAAATGTTAGTCATATGTCAATCAAGTGATTATGAAGAGTAGTAGACATTGAAGGGATTGCACTAAATTAAAAACCTTAGTATAAAGGTTTCTAATGACGTCAAGTCTGATTTGAATATAGATCTTTAACATTTCAGAGAAAATGTATGAGCTGGGATGGATCAAGGACTAACCAAGATAGGGGCTAAATTTTTGTTTTCTCTTCTTTTATAATTATTTAAATATTTAACTTGAATGATATAATGCATTAATTAAAGTTTGTAAATAATAAAAATCTATTAAAACTTCACAAATAATGAATTGGTCGTCATGTGTTTATTAAAAGCTTTCATAAATTTTTTTATTTAAATATAATTTTCAAATAATTTTATAGTAAAATATATAGCAAATTGGTGAAAATTTGTCATTGTGCGTAAAGGTGCAAAAGATTACAATCATTAAAAATCAAATTTAATGTGAGTCAAACGCACAAATAAAATTATGAATTCTATTATATTCTTGGGACTTTAATTAATCAGTTTGCGTGTATTAGATATATACATTGACACAATTACAAAACTTATTATATGTAGAATATATATTTATTATACACAAATTTATTTTTTTCATTAATTAGTCTTAATAATTTGGTCATTTTATGAAAAAAATGAAATATATAATTCAATTTGACTAGATATAATAGCATATACATATAAATCGCACAAGCTAAAAACCTAGTTTTATTAAACCTTAGAATTAGTTCATTCAATAATTCTTTTCATTTAATTAAATCTCACTATTATGTTAGACTATATCTGGGCAACTATTTATCAAAAACACATGTATCTACAAAGTCGTACGGGGTGATGCCTGCCTAGTGTCAAAAGGTCAAGAAAGTTGGTGACCTGATGACAGTGGAACGAACGACAGAAGCCATGATAAACAGTAGTCGTAACTATAACAAAAGGTAACAAAAAATTATGTCGAGTAAGTTCTAACTCATAGCATCACGATCTATACACTATCTCAAAGATAGACTCAATGAAATAGACATGTCTATGAAGATGCACACTAACTACACTTGGACAAAAAGACCCTATGAAGTAATTAAAACACTTATAATTATTAATATAATCTATAATTAACATTAAATTATTATATCTATTTTTTTACAAAAATGTTGAAAATAATTAGAAAAAGAAAAAATAAATAGGGACTAAATGTTAAACAAACACTTACAATAATTACTAAGAATGGTCTAGTGGTGGAGGACTCAGGGTAATATGCACGTGATTCTAGGTTCAAAACTTAATTTGTCATTGTAAATTTGTAATTTTGCTGATAAAAAAAATAAACAATTAAGAAGACAAAAACTAGTCAAAAGTTTTTTCAAGGATTAAAAGTATAAATAAAAACAAATGAAATATATTTTTTTTGTTACAATCTACCTTTTCTTTAGTTACAAATAAATGATATAAGTGTTTCTAAGAGGGATAATTAAGAAATGAAATGGATTAGTAGGGAGAAACTAACATGATAAAGGAGTCGAGGGGATATGGGATTTTGAAACTTCTATGGTTTTAATTTAGCAGTGTTAGAGAAGTAAGGTTGAAATTTTCTTTCTAACCCGGTTGTTTTAGTTACTTGAATGCTTAAAGCTAAATATTTTCTAAATGTAGACTTTTTAGATGCTATAATTGGTCGTAACCCATCTTATTGTTAAAGAGACATCTGGACTTCATAAGTGTTGTTGAGGTAAGACTATATATAGAGGATTGTGGATGGTTCAATGGTAAATATTTGTTATCAACCATAGATAAGAAAAAAAAGAAAGGATCACTTCAAATTACAATTATTCCAACAAATGAGACTTCATATACTATAGTTTAACAACCCGTGGTAGTAGGACAAAGGATTTGGAATCAATAACTTTTACAGGATATATTTAATAAGGACAATGTAAAAGCTATCTTACAAACTCCTTTAATATAATATGTCCATGGTGATAGAAGGATTTGATTCCATGAGAAAAATAGATCTTATTTAGTGAAGTCAACTTATAATTTTTTTATAACCAATTTGTTGATGTTAAACACTTACCAAAGTAGGAGATTGGATCCTAATATGAAATTTAAAAGTTCCATTAAGAGTGAGGATTTTTTTTTATGGAGAGTTTACATTAACTATTTATTAACCAAAGATTTATTAAGAACCAAAATTTTATGCAATGCGAAATTGGAACAACACTGACATGATTATTTTTCATGTGCTTTAAGTGTTGATTATTGAAGGATTGCTTCATTACAGAGGCAAATTAGTCATATTATAGATCAATAAAATGATTTCACCAATAGTGTGTTTGGATAAATAATTTAAATGGAGTAATTCATTTATTTGAAGAATTTCAACTTTTTTAGATGAAATACCTTGTTTGGATGAAAAATTTATAAGGAATTTAAAATTCAAACATTTTTGAAATTCCTTGAAATAATAGAATTAAATATTCAAAAATATTTTTAAAATTATTAAATATTATCTAATATTAATTTTTAAAATTATTAAATATTTAAAAATTAGCTAATATTTTTTTATAAAATTTAATTTAAAAATCTCAACATATAAATATATTTTTAAAATTAATTTTACCATGGTGAAATCAAATTATCATATCCAACACAACAATTTAAAATTTGAGAAATTTGAATTAACTTATCCAAACAAAATATTTTAAGAACAATAGAAATTTAAATCAAAGTAATTCAAATACTAAAAATTTAAAATCCCTTGAATTTGTAAAATTCCTCAGCTAAACACACCATAAAGCTTGTTTTAAGGTACTAATCATTTTGAATCATGATATACATATTGCTATAATTATATGGAGTGTTTGACAAAATAAAATTGATAAAGATCGAAATGATCATGCAAGGATTCCTACTATGATAATTTTTAAAGCTATCCAAACATGTGGATATTAACTAACTGCTAAAGGTTTAAGGAAAAGAAAGCAACCTCTCTCATTTTGATAATCAAGTGTGTTGGAGAAATCCACAAAGTGAGTTATTAACGTGTAATGTAATGTTGCTTTTCATGTAAGGAAACATATTACTAATTGGTGTTTTTGTGTTCACGATGAGCATAGTTCATTTGTGCTTACCAAAACTAGTTGGAGAACACTATGTCTTGATGTTTTAAAGGATGAGTTTAGGGTTTATAATTTAGGATTATTGGAAGCTATGAGGTGGGTTGTTGAATCAGGCATAACATATGTAAGGTTTTAGGTAGACTATAAGGAGTTGTTGATAACATCCGAGATTCTAGTCCTAACTATTCTAGAGTTGGTGCTATTATAGAAAAGTGTAAGGTTCTACTATCCCATTATTTAAACATTTAAGTAGAGTTGGATAGGAGACAAACTAATGTAGTTGCCCATTCTCTTGTTATGGAGGCTACTTTGTTAGCCCTTTTTATCTATTCACAATTACCATATTGTATATTTGTATTGCTTTTGTTATTAATAATGACATGGTTTGAGTTTTTTCTGGTAAAAAAAAACATTATTAACATTTAGGTAGCATTTGGTAAAAAGATTGTTTTTACTTTCCCAAAAATCTGATGTTGAAAAAGTTAGTTTCTTACGTCTAATTTATTAATTAAAAAACATCTTTCTTAATAAACATTATATATATATATATATATATATATATATATATATCTATATATTGTTGGAGTTCAAGTGTAAAGTAAGTCATACATCAGTTAGAGTTCAGCATGTCTTAAGATTTTAAGTTATGTTGTTGTGTCAAACTCACTTGTGTGGTTTATTCACTAGTCATGGATATAGTGCTCTCTGATGTAAAACTTTCTCCACTCAATAGTGGTATTGGAGTTAAAGCGTGAGCACATGGATGAGTTAAAGTGTGAAGCAAGTCTCACATCGGTTAAAGTTGGGTATGTTGAGTAGTATAAAAATGAGAAAGAGACACCTATTGACTTAAGGTTTTAAGTTATGTTGTGTTGTCAGACTCTTCACTACCCATTAAGTGTTCCCGTATTATAAGAACTTATCATGGTCTCTACATTAAAGGTACAACTACTCAAATGAATATCTACTAAAATTCTTATGACTGTAAGTTTACTATTATCAGGTTTTGTACTGTACATCATACATGTGAAATAACTATACAAAAATATATGATACAAATACAATGATCCAATAAGGTAAATTGTACACCTATAACTGCCTAACAAGCAACTTTTACACATAGCACTACACCGTTGTAGTACAAAATATATCCAACTCTGCCATCCTTATGACGACCACTTCAATAGCAACATCACCTACCTATCACCGTTCTACTCCCATACAATATATGATCGTCGTAATTCAAACCACATGAAAACCTGCAAGGGTAGGCTAGAGAAAAAAAACATATATTTAATACAAAGCACCAACAACACTGGTTACATCTTCACATCACCATCTCATCTACAATACCAAAAACACAAGACATCACAATACACAATACATACTAACATAACAACTTAGTTTACAACAACATAATATAAATTCAACATCTTAACAATCTCAACATAGTTGATCATTATAGCAACACAATATTTTTAATACAGCAACAAGATGTGTTGTCATGTATTTCAACTAAGAAGACCTTCTACAACTGAGGTAAATAGTTTAAGTGACTTGTCCCTACTAAATCACAATGTTAGACCTATCTCAATTAGATCAAGTATAGGACAACATTAAACCTCATAAGAGAGCCAAGTATAGATAACTTAGTTTGAATTCTCAGGCCTTGCCACTTAAACAAGAAAATATGATACTATGTCAAGGTAGAACAGTTTGAGTATGAGCCTACTATGACATTAGTTGACTTAACCAAGCCACCTATGAGATTAATCTGCCGACTATCCTCCAAATACCACAACCCTCCGATATTAAGTTAGGAATTTTAACTATTGACTTTATACTTTACTCGGTTAGTTATTCAACTAAGATATGGTTCAAATACTTTTATACCAAAACCACATAAACCCTAGAGGAAGTGACTTTTAAACAACTTAATTCACCCCTAGCATCTATGTATTTCAACTTAAACATGTATCTCAACAACATGTCTACAACTTTACCGTTTTATACAACATGCAACTTTTATCAAAATAATCAATAATATACAACTCAACATTAATAGTATTCATCAACAATTATCACCATTTAACATCATTTAAATACGAACAATTCATTATATTGCAATATTTAATATCTCAACACATCATATATTACCATGTTATAAGAGAAGTAACATATAACATTTTCAACATGTAGTCATCAACTAACCTACAACAAAACGTCTACATAACACAACAAAATTGGAGTTCTACCAACCAAAACAAACTCATCTTTACCTCATGTGAAAGATAAAGAAAATTATTTGCTACTCTCTTGAAGACTTCAAATCCTACCATTATATACCATGTTGAAAATCACAAAATTTGCAATAGTTTGTCTAAATGTTAACAACTTGACCTTCACTTACTAAAAAGGTAATAATTGGAGTTTTAGACATCATTTTTAGGTGGTTTCAAAGCCATTAGAAAGATAACATGCAAGGTTACAACATTCATGAATATCTAAAGACCAAATTCAAACATTTACCTCGCCGTTGTAGCGTTCAATTCGACACTTCAACATTGAATTTCTGTCAGCCTAGTTTTTTCCATAGCTGTAGCGCTCAACTATGGTTGCATCACTGGATCCCTGCCAGTCCAATTTTTCCCATGGCTGCAGCGTTCAACTATGGCTGCAACATTGGATCTTGGTCAAGCTCAATTCTTTTTCCATAGCTACAGTGCTGAGTGTAGAGTTTTCTACATATTAATGGTTTTCCCTTTGTTTTTCACCACACTTCACAATTTTTCTTTCTAAACACATCTACAATACATTTTCATTACTAGATTCATACATGCAACTAAAAATTTTTCCTAAAATACCACATTCAACCATCAAGGACATCAAGATCACCATTTTTTTTTTGGCTTAACTCATTTAATAACATCCACAACCCTAACTGAACATGCAATCTACTTAAATTCAACAAACTTAGCTATGAATCACATATTTGACGGTGATTCAACCACGTACAACTCAAAATATAACAATGATTAAAGTTTTATCTTCTCTTATCTCTTTGAAAAACCAAAATATACGAAGAGGGGAAGAGGAGAAGAAACTTTGCATGCTTTGTACGGTCCCGAAGTCAAGCCGCAACACAACTCGGACTTCTCCACTACTTTGGGTAACTAAAGAAGGGAAAAAGAGAAAAAAGGGGAACACATTTTCAATCAAAAAAGAAAAGAGAAAAGAAAAAAACTAACTCTCACTCTCAAAAAGCTTTTATGAGTCCCTATACACATATTATGATGCGTAAGAATGTAACATTTTAAAGTTAAATATAAAGTTTTACTCGGATAAAAATTTAATAATACTTTTATTTGCATTTTAAATATTGTAATTTTTAAAAAAAATTGTCATGTTACCTTTGTATCATGATTTTCAAAAATGAAAAAAATTATTGAATACCTTTATAATATTATAAAAATATTTTTTAAAATAATAATTGAATTAATTAATTATTTTTAAAATATTTAATTACATTTTTTGTTGGGATTGACATATTCCTTTTTTAATATAAATTATTCTATACTTAAAATAATTTGATTAAGAGATATAAATTATTATTATTTGTGTTAATTAATATTATAAGAAGAAAAATAATATTAACTAAAATTGAACATTTTCAAGTGTAAGGCAAAAAAAAAAAGATAAAATAAAAAAAGTTATTAAATATTTTAAAAATATCTTAAACATGAATTCCACAAAATCCCTTCATTTGCAAAAATCAGAAATATTACATACATATTAGCTTTAATAACTCCTTCCTGAAGACAACTTGGCGTGCAGTCGCAAACTCAACCCTAGGCACTGCACACAGAAATTCATTCCCCCATCCAACAATACACACAATCTTTCTCTTTCTCTCCATCTTAATTCTAAACCCTAACCCTAGTTTGTGAGAGAGAGCCACTCCACCATGGGAACTCCAGAGACATCGCGCGAACCGTGTCCCGATCGCATTCTCGACGACATAGGCGGCGCCTTCGGCATGGGTGCAGTGGGTGGATCCGCCTTCCACTTCATCAAGGGTCTCTACAACTCCCCCAAGGGCGACCGCTTCGTCGGCGCCACCCAGGCCGTCCGCCTCAACGCCCCCCGCGTCGGCGGCAGCTTCGCCGTCTGGGGCGGCCTCTTCTCCGCCTTTGATTGCTCCATGGTCTACGCCCGCCAGAAGGAGGATCCCTGGAACTCCATCGTCGCCGGCGCCGCCACTGGCGGCTTCCTCTCCATGCGCCAAGGCCTCGCCGCCTCCGCCCGCTCTGCCGCCTTCGGCGGCGTCCTCCTCGCCCTCATCGAGGGCGCCGGGATCATGCTCAACAAGTTCCTCAGCGCGCAGCAGCCCATGCCTATCATCATGGACGAGCCTCCGCCGCCCCCGCCGCCGGAGACGGCGTCCTCGGGGTGGATCGGTGGACTATTCGGCGGAGGGAAGAAGGAGGAGGGCTCCGCCGGTGGTGGAAGCGAGACGAACATTCTGGAGAGCTTTGATGCTCCCCCTGTGCCCAAATTTGAGTATAAGTAAGAACATGCTTGGATAAGTTTCTCTATAATTGATTTCTCTATAAAATAATTGAGTTCATATTATGCGTAAGTTAGCATAGCTTATGGGAGGAGCCTGATTAATTTTTTCTTCTCTGTCGTATGGAGAAGCTTATTCAAACAGAAGAGGTGGTTTATAGGGTAGTGATTTTTGTAAGCTATTGAATTTGTTGTCGATTTGAACCTAACTTGATGATTGTCTATCATACAATGATTTTGTTTTTTCTTTCACAATAATGCGTAATGTAAGTGTAGTGGTAGGCTTTCATCATATTTATTATATATTATTTTCTTTTGAGTTGAAAATTTTAAATCTTATAGGGTGGAGCTGTTGTGTAAGGATAGTGGTGTATTTTGAATGTTTAAATGTCTCCTTTTGCTGGAAATAGACGTACTACACAGATTGAGGGTCATGTTCTATGTTTTTTGTTTGGTTGGAGAAAGCATTAGCCTATGCCTATACCATCAGACAAGTGACATACTCAGAATGGAATGAATCTTTAATATTCAGTACGTGGATTCTTGATAGTTTTTTTTATTACTGTGTCCATTATATGTTTCTGTTTTTTATTTTTGTACTTTTGTCATGATTTGTCTTGGATTTTTTTTGTAACATGGCGATAGTTTTATTTGTTCGCACTTGAGATCACAAGAGACCCTTAAGAGTTAAGTGTGAATTGAAGAGTCCGGTGTGCTCTACAACGTGTAAGGCTAGTTACACATATTTAGCAGGTGTCTTTTCTTTAACTGTTTCCACCATTTTTGAGGATGGGAAAAATGACACCTTAGTTAGATTCATGAAAACGATATAGAGATCATAATGTTTACTTGGTCAGTTATGAGTTAATATTTTGATTGAACAGTTAACAGAACTTGGCTGATGGTCTGTTGCCCCTCAAGTGCTAAACCTAAAAGGTACATGAAAATTACTCCGTTGGATGGTACAGTCTTAGTAGATTTGTAGCTGTAAGCACTTTTCTTTTCCTCAAAGTTCATTAGGGAATTGACTAGGTTAATTTTTAAGCCAGTGAAGGTGAATCACTTTGATTTCTATAATGTAGAGGTGTCATGCTTATTCAATTTCTGCCTTTCTGTTCATGTCTTCACTGTTTACATGATGACAACACTGGGTTTCATTTCACTTCATTGATCACTGGATCATTGGTTTATTGGCAAAGTAGTCGTCAATTATGAGTTTAGAATTAATTAGCATCTCATCAGAAAGTGAAGGAACTGAGTATCCTTGTATAGGATGAAAACAATGTTTTGCTGACTTTAAATCTTGGTCATCAAGGTCACAATGATTATTTCAACAATGTTTCTGGCTGTACTCTTCTACTTTTAAAAGGAGTTAAACAGTCACTTGTTCATAAGTATGCCACGGTTGGTATGCACTTATGTTTATCTACCACTTTTTGGAGAGGAAAACTTTCTTACAGCTTGTTTCATTTATTTTATTTACAACATGAAGGGTCCCAGTAAGCAATTAAAGTATTTTTTATTCATACTGTTAAAGTTTTATGTTATGAATTATGTGCAGATTACATATATTTCTATAATTTTGGTCACAATAGAATTCTATTCTCTCTATTCTCGTGTCTTTAATATTATATTCTTCACTATTTTGCTGGTTCATATTGGCTCAATTTTGAGGAGCAAATAAATCTATCGCTGTTATAGGTAGATGAGGTCGGGACTGAATTTTTAAGTAGTCTGATTTCTTACTTTTCTTTAGCACCTGGGAAAGATTAGATGTCTGTGTGAAGTTTTTCTAAAAATATACTTCTGCTCGCATATTTTTCTGGTTACAGTGGTCAATGGTCTCTGATGAATTCACTATTGTTAGCTTGGGACTCTTTATGTTGTATTTATGTGATATTAACTTGGTATAACGATTAACGACACACTGGCTGAATAGTATGGTGACCCTCAGCTGGTTTAATTGGTTCATTGACGTGATATTTTGCCTTTTTTTTTTTATTATTATTTATTTTTGGTACAACTCTAGATGAAAAATGAGAATATTGAAATTAACAGTATTGGACTTACAAAGTGGACTGCTGATGGAGTCAACCGAACTATATTCACCAAAAAATTCTTGAATGAAACCCAAAATGAGGGTGTCAACATGGTACTAACAGTGGGCCGCCGCTCTTGATTTGTTTTGAGAAATAACACTGAACTGAATTTTAAAAAGAATTAAACTAACTTCTTAAGAAATTAGTGGTGGTTATATTTAGATTTGGCTTAATTATAAATTATAATTATATTTCTTACTTATATATTATTCTTATATTTTAACTTAATTTTCAAATAATTATTTTTTGTCTTAATTGTATGCATGAATTGTAATTATATTTCTTAATGAGTTAATCATCTATAAACTGTTAGTGTAACCAATTATATCTTTTAATTGTGTCATGTCACTGTTAAAAGTAAATGTGTTTATAGTGACATGGTACAACTAAAAGATATAATTGGTTGTCAGTGTAAATTTTTTTTAGTATATAGGTAATTAACTCTTTCTTAATTTTTTATTATTTTTTTCTTTTTATCTATCAGAAATATAATAATGGTATAAAAAGGTACGAACTAAAAATTATGTAGATGCTATTCCAACTTTCCACCATTTACTCTATTTGTTCTTTTAGTTTTTTTTTTTTTAATTTCTATTTTTTAATTTTATTTTATGTGTTCCATTGGGGAAGGACAGGATATTAACATATTCTTTGGTACGACTATTTTCTTTTTATTTGTCAGACTTCTTGATGATTTGTAGGATTGATCATTACATGTATAGACATTGATTGCAATGAAATTTTTTAATATAATTACTGCAAAATTCTAGTGTAATGCCATTCTTTTTAAAGCGCGTAATCTAGAACCTGAACTTTCGAAGTGCAAGAGCAGCGTGCCATAGATGCCTCAGCAGATTACGTATTTATTTATTCCAACTTAGGTTTGTCTAAACATATCCCTTTTGAACATGTATGAATCTTAATGACAAAATGATGCATGATTATGACATTTTCATAACATGCAATAACACTTATAAAAAGATTAAAATGCATGTACTTAATGAGATCATGAACAATGGAATGAAGGATAACTCTTTGCCTAATTGCTAGTATTTTTTTAAGTGTGGCATAAAACTGTTTAATGACAAAGTATATAATTACTTATTAGTTGATCGTATAAATCTGATTAGTTTGAACGTATAAAATTTTTTATTGACAATTTATAACGATGAAACACATAATTTTATTTTATAGCCACTCTTAAGCTCAAATAACTAATATCTATAAATTAAAGTATCATAAATTTTATTTTATTTTATAATGGATATTGATAATTTAAATTTTATATTGTTAAATAGGATTTAAGTATGTTTTTACGTATAAAGTATTCAGCTAGGGTTTTAGTCACTCTGATTTATTTACTTTTATCTTTTTAAAATTTAAAGTCTTAGTTTTAGTTTCTACAATTTTTTATTATTTAATTTTGGTCCATATAAAATATTCCTCTTTAGTTTTCGTCTTTTTAAAAACTAAAATAATTATTTTTGTCCTAATATTCATATTAAAATAATAAATAATATTTATTTTATTAATTCATAATTTTTTTAGAAGTATCTAGTACAAGCACCGTTACATTTCGTTAAACATGTAAGCAGTAAATGGTGTCACTTAAAATAGCCAGACCAAAAACAATAACTTCCGTCTCACTGGATGAAAAAACAGAAAATTATAAGAATTAAAGTCAAAAACTCATTCATTTACATATATTAAGGGTGTGTTGGTTATGTTTGAAAATTCTGAAACACGTATTTTCACATTTCAATATAGAAAATGTAAAAGCATAAATTAAGAGTGTATTAGTTATCCGTTTGAAAATTTTAAAACGAGTGTTTTTACTTTCTAATACATAAAATGCAAAAACACCAAAATTATTATTTTAAAATTAAAGTAGGTTGTCTTCAAATATACACTAAAACATTTTTTAAGTCATTAAACAATGTTATTTAACATTGATATTTAGTAATTTTAAACCACCCATAAATAGCCGCCTTTAATATCATGCTTTGTAGAGACAATTGGAATCCTGATGGATACAAATCATGATCCAAAGGTTCCTTCTATTAAGGTTAATTATTTCTTGGGATAGTGTTCTAGAACAGTAGAAGCATATACATGATGTCTGTCTTTTTGTAAATTAACTTCAAAGTGCATCTTTAGGTCCTTCCATCATCTCTAGTGGTCAACAGATATATTTAATAAACACAACTTCATTATTGTCAGAAGTTAAGTTGTGCACATTGCATACGGTCATTCTCAATGGCAGAACAGTTGAAAACTTGGAAAATAACTGATTAATCATAAATTACACACCTAGTCCATAGACCACAAGGTGAGTGGGATTTATTTAGGTTCCAAGTCACTAGTCTTTTGTATTCTTATTCATAGAACAAATAATAACTGAGTTTTATACCGTCATTTGATCATAAACAGTCGTGTATTTGTTGACTCATTTTTAAGATAATCAGTAATATCCTTACAATTTATAGATTTGTAATAGGTTGAAAATGTCAAAAACTTTTATACTGACAACACTTACAAAGGAAAACGCATGGCCACTGTAAGATTTCAGTGTAAGAAGGTAAAAATCCAAAGTGAAGAATGGATTTAGTGTGGTTTTGATCTCTTGCTCAATCATTATTCATCAGGGCAATGGATTTGGTCAAAGTATGAGTGTGGGACAAGGTTGTGATTTGTGAGACATTTTTTCCTCATAGAACGTTAGTGGATTGGAATTTTCAGCTAACAATCCAATTGAAATTTCAGTGTCCAATTCATTGAAGCATCAGTGATCATTCTGATTGGTTAAAATAATAGATGCACTTGCCTGTTATTGCTTGTATGCATTTGTCAAGTCAAAGTCTTCTATTGACTGATGGGCATTATATCATTGTCTTTTTGGTGGAATTTACGCTAGGGCTTATTTTCCACAAATGCGTGCTACTTGGGTTCGAACTTGAAAGTACTAAAAGTTAGAAAAATGTCTTGCACAAATGCAATGTCAAGTCATGTGTGTACATGTTATTGAATAAATATTAAAAAATAAAAATAATAACTTTGACTTGAATGAAAGAGGATAAGTGTTACCTAAATAAACTATTATATGATTCAGAACTATATGGTTTCAACCAATCCGAATCTCAAACCACAGAATAACTTCTCATTACATACAATTTTGTATACAGAAATTCGTACTTATAAGCATTTCATATTTTGAAAGTGAAGTCGAGCAAATAAAAATGCTAAATCATTAACATTCAGCAGTACTCCCTTGTCCATATGCATAAATTGAAATGTCCAAGTTGCAAATGAACTAAAGAATTCTCAAGCAGCATAGACTAAACCAAGTCTTCTTCTTCCTCCTCCTTTGCACATCAAAACACAATGAAAATCAGAGAAAACACAAACACTCACATGACAATACCATTTTACCATTATCTAACCATCTTCTTAATCCTGAGCCATGCACGCTCTGAGACTCAGATGCACGAACAAGAACTTGCAGTCCTACTGAAGATAAAGCAGCACCTTCAGAATCCTTCATTCCTCAGTCACTGGACCCCTTCAAACACTTCTCACAGTCACTGTTTTTGGCCAGAGATCACATGCACCAGTGGCTCTGTCACTGGATTGGCTCTGGGCAACAGAAACATCTCTCAAACACTACCACCTTTCATGTGTGACCTCAAGAATCTGACACATGTTGATTTCAGAAACAATTCCATTCCGGGGAAGTTTCCAACATTTCTCTACAATTGTTCCAAGCTGGTGTACCTGGACCTCGAAATGAATGATATTCATGGTAGCATTCCTGATGACGTAGACAACTTGGTTAACTTGCTGCATCTTAACCTTGGTTCCACAAGCTTAAGTGGTGATATTCCTACTAGCATTGGAAGGTTAAAGCAACTGATATTTCTTCAACTTCAGTATTGTCTATTCAATGGAACCTTCCCTGCTGAGAATATCAGCAACTTGTTCAATCTTGAATTCTTGGATATGTCCTCTAACTTGGATCTCCCTCCTTCAAAGTTACCATCAAGCCTGACCAGGTTGAAAAAACTGAAGTTCTTTCACATGTACAGTTCCAACTTGTTTGGGGAAATCCCTGAAACCATTGGAGAAATGGTGGCCTTGGAGAACTTGGATATATCACGAAGCAATCTCACTGGACACATTCCTAAAGGCTTGTTCATGCTGAAGAATTTGAGCATTCTGTACCTTTTCAAGAACAGTCTCTCTGGGGAGATACCTGATGTGGTTGAAGCATTGAATTTGACCGAACTTGATCTTGCAGAGAACAATCTTGCAGGGAAAATACCTCATGATTTTGGGAAGCTCCAAAACTTAACATGGTTGAGTTTGTCTCTCAATAACTTGTCAGGGGAGATACCGCAAAGCATAGGCCGTCTTCCATCTCTTGAACATTTTCGTGTCATATTCAATAACTTGTCAGGTATTCTTCCTCCTGATTTTGGTCGCTACTCAAAGCTTAAATCATTTTTGGTTGCATCTAATAGTTTTAGTGGAAGTCTCCCAGAGAACTTATGCTATCAGGGTCAGTTACTTAATTTATCTGCTTATGAAAATTATCTGAGTGGAGAGTTGCCACAATCACTAGGCCAGTGTAGTAGCCTGGTGGATTTAAAAATTTATAGTAATGGGTTTTCTGGTAGCATTCCTAGTGGTCTTTGGACTTTCAGTTTGTCAACTTTCATGGTGAGCAATAATAAGTTCACTGGTGAGCTTCCTGAGAGATTGTCCTCAAGTGTCTCACGCTTGGAGATTAGTCACAATCAGTTTTATGGTAGGATTCCAACTGGGGTATCTTCATGGACTAATGTGGTAGTGTTTGATGCCAGTAAGAACTACCTTAATGGGAGTTTTCCAAAAGAGTTAACAGGTCTTCCCAAGTTAACAACTCTATTGCTAGATCAGAACCAAATCACAGGACCACTTCCATCAGATATAATATCATGGAAGTCTCTAGTCACTCTAAATTTGAGCCACAACCAACTCTCTGGACCAATCCCAGATGCAATTGGTTTGTTACCTGTCCTTAGTCAACTTGACCTATCAGAAAACCAATTTTCAGGCCAAGTTCCTTCTGTACTTCCTAGACTCACCAATCTCAATCTATCCTCTAACCATTTGTCAGGGAGGGTTCCAAGTGAATTTGAAATTTCTGTGTATTCGACAAGCTTTTTAAACAATTCTGGCCTATGTGCTGATACCCCAACACTGAACCTTAGGCTGTGCAATGTTGCCTTTGCAAGGCCAACCAAAGGCTCTTCTTGGTCTCTTGCTTTGATTTTGTGCCTGGTGGCAGTAGCCGTGTTACTGGCTTTGTCAATACCACTCTTGATCATCAAACTTTACAGAAGAAGGAAACAAGGATTGGATAACTCATGGAAGCTCATTTCCTTTCAAAGTCTGAGTTTCACTGAATCAAACATTTTGTCATCATTGGTAGAACATAATGTTATTGGAAGTGGTGGATTTGGCACGGTATACCGCGTCCCCGTTGATGATTTAGGCTATGTTGCTGTTAAAAGGATCTCCAGTAACAGAAAGTTAGACCAAAAGTTAGAGAATTCATTTCGTGCAGAAGTTAAAATATTGAGCAACATTCGTCATAAAAACATTGTGAAATTGATGTGTTGTATCTCCAATGATGATTCTATGCTCCTTGTTTATGAGTATTTGGAAAACCGTAGCCTAGATAGGTGGCTGCACAATAAGAGCAAGTCATCATCTGTGTCGGGTTCAGTCCATAATTTTGTGCTTGATTGGCCAAAGAGATTGCAAATAGCCATTGGGGTTGCTCATGGCTTGTGCTACATGCACCATGATTGTTCACCACCTATTGTCCATCGAGATGTGAAAACAAGCAACATTCTTTTGGATGCTCAATTCAATGCAAAAATTGCTGATTTTGGTCTGGCTAGGATGTTAATGAAACCAGGGGAACTTGCTACCATGTCATCAGTTATTGGCTCATTTGGCTACATGGCTCCAGGTGAATAATGACATGCCAATCAATCCTTTTAGTTTTTGTCAGGACAAAACTTAGTTAGAGTATTTTAAGTTCTGTTAGTGTTGTTTTTCAATCAAAATTAGAATTAGAGTTTCGTCTCAGTGCATATTACTGATATCTGCATTAAATATAAATGCATATTATTAAACTGAAACTCCAACTTTGAATGAAAACAACACTAACAATATCTATGACATTGTAATTGAGTCTTGTCCTAATATTTGTTGCTCAAAAGTATGTTCTTTAGTTAGAATTCTGTGATTATATTTTGCCATTGGCATAAGTGTAATCTGAATGTGTGTTATACTTGCATTGCAGAATATGTTCAAACAACACGAGTGAGTGAGAAGATTGATGTATTCAGCTTTGGGGTTGTACTATTGGAGCTGACAACTGGTAAAGAGGCTAATTATGGTGATGAGCACTCATCTCTTGCTGAGTGGGCATGGCGCCACATAATTGTTGGAAGCGAAATAGAAGAGCTGCTAGACTATGAGTTCATGGATCCAAGTTACAAGAATGAAATGTGCTGTGTTTTCAAACTTGGGGTCTTGTGCACTTCAACACTTCCTACTAATAGGCCTTCCATGAAGGAGGTGCTACACATATTGCTCAGCTGTGGAGAAGGATTTGTGTTTGGAGAGGGGAGTGTTAGGCAATATGAAGGTGCTCCCCTTCTTAAGAACTCAAAATGAGAGAGTAAGTTGTATTATGTTGATAATGATAGTGACTAGTGATAGTCCTCATCAAAACTTGGAACAAACCATTCAAGTTCCTAGAGGGAAGAAAGGGGAATCGAGCACTAGTAGTATAAAACATGGTTTTGAAGGCAGTGTTCAGTGTTGTGATGATGAGACCCTCTTTCTTTTTTCGATAGAAGATGCTTATTACGCTCTCTCTAACACTATTTTCAACACTCTTTTACTATTAGTCAAAATTTATTAGAATTTATTAAAATGTGTGATTTCTAATTAATTTTGACTAATAATAAAGAAAGTGTCATGACATTCCTTTTTCAGTAATATTATAGCTCAAGTAGACTGGTAAAATTGCAACATAATGTCTACTTGTTCTTGTTTTTTTAGTATATGTCAGTTATTTGAGTTTAATAGATATGAAACAGGTATTATACCGTAAACGCTATTAAAAATAAATTTTGCTGTATTTTTTAGGATGGTTATTATTGTCAATAAATTTAACATACATAATCAATTTGATGATGGTTATATATATATATATTCTTTATTTGAACAATCAAACCCAAAGTCATTAGAAGTTGGTTATCATCCATATTAAATGAGCTACATGGGTAAGGACCAAACTTACAATCATTCGACAAACTTAGCAGTTCCAGAACCATCACATTATGCATCTTTCTTTAAGACAAATTTTCTCATCCCAAAATAAGAATGAAATTATTTACACCATTATCAAACTAGTCCACAACATTCAATCAACACCCAACTTAAGATTTGAGATTTTTTTTATTTAAAAATAAAAATAAAAATAGAAATAAGGAAAATAATTGTGGTGTCTCCCTTTATTTAACTTTCACGTAATAAAAAAATAAAAAGTCTTAATAAAAAAAAATAATAAAGGGAAGATTCAAGATTTTTTAAAAAATTATTGTGGAATATAATGTCCCTTAATAATTTATTCTTAAGACTTAGTAGGTTATTGTTATATTAACATATAATATTTTTGTCATGTTATTTATATTATATTATATATCTCGTGTCCACATGTCTTATATTTTTTGATTTTATCATATCCTTGTGTTCATGTTTGTGTCGTGTCTCCGTATAGTGTCTGAATTCATGCTACATAACTTTGAAATATACATTATTTGATGAAAATTAAATAAAAAAATAAAATTAACCATTTCAAAAGGAATATAAAAATAATAAACATAACAACATTAAGTTATCGTTTATTTTGACTTAAAAACAAACTAGGTGTGTCAATAATGGAAGACTACGCCAATGTATATACCACCTCACATTACAATTTACTTAGGAGAAATTCTTGTCTTGATTTTACTTTTGGTCATTACCCAAAAGGTCTCTTTATCATTGAAATATGAATGTGTTTTTATAAGTTATTATTTTTTCTCTTATTTTATCGATGTGGGATTTGTTCGTATCCTAACAATCTTTCCTTCAAACAAAGGACATAACCTTTCATGCAGCAAAATCGTCTTTATATATCACATTATTAGTTATGGGTTATGAGGGTTATTTTATGGTATTTGTTTGAGATAATATTTTATAAGTGTTATTTTTACTCTTATTTTATCGATGTGGGACTTATTTATATCTCAACAACTACAATAGAAAATGTCAAAATCACACCACTTCCATATTCTTCTAAACTTCCTTTTGTATTTCCAAAATTTCAATGCTTTATAATCAAACGTAATATATATATATATATATATATATATATAAACAAAAATTTTAAATTTAAAACTATTGTTATAAAAGCATGCTTTTCACACATTGGGCAAGTCAAATTTTAGCAATAGAAAAAATAGAAAAATAATCGGTGTGAAAATCTCTATTAATTTCTCATTTTTCATACGTTGATCTTGTGCACACTAAAACAAAACATTTGAAATTCAATTTCATGCAAAAGGTTCTATGATTTTCTAATTTACGATTCTTTTTGTCACACAAAACAAGCTATCAAATCCCAAATTAAAATTGAAAAAATTGATAATAGTGAAAAAAATGAAGAAAAAGTAGTATCTTCAATTTCTAATAAAGATTGCAGTGTGAGATGAAAAGATGTAATATAGAAGGTAGATAAGAGCTGTAATAGAAAATATAATTGTAGAGATATTGACATGAAAAATGTGTTATCAAATTCCAGATTATGTGTGAAAAACAATTGAGAAAAAAGATGGAAAAAAAAATAGTACCTTTCAATTTTCTGAGGATGATTGTAGAGATTTGAAAATTAGACAATAGAAAAGTGAAAAATGGATTGAAAAAACCACATATGAGAGATGTATAATTATATAAAGGGTTAACGAAAATTATAATAGAAAATAAAAATACAGAGAAGTTGACACATAAGTAAATATGTTGATGTGACACATTTGAGATTTGAGAGTATAATAATGTATTAGCATAATAGTTTGTCGCTCAATATTTATATTATAAATAAATAGATATTATTGAAAAACATTGAATTTCATAAAATCAAATTAATGTACACAAGTTGCTCTTATCATTATGTTCAATTGTGAGGAGAGAAATAAGGTGAAGAGAAATAAAAGATAAAAAAACAAGTAAATAAAAATAGGTAAAAAATATAATGAAAATAAGGTTATTTGATTTGAAAAATAATATTATAAAGTTGTTTAATTTAAATAAATGAAGAGAAAAAAAATTATAATTTAAAAAAATATAATTTTACCCTTTAATGTTACATACCAATGAAAACTCACCATTCGAATACACATCCTACTCATTCTAATACAAAACTCACATTCGATACCATGTGAAATGCCTCCATATCCATTCAAATAAAACTCCATCCATATTTAAATAAAACTCCAATCATATTCAAATAGAACAAACCCGATTTAAATAAAACACAAAATATAATTGAATAACAAAAAACTGAATTTGAAGAAAACAACAAACGCATTTGAATAAAACATCAATCACTACAACCATTCAAATAAAAATAAATCATATTTAAATAAAATATACTACTTCATCATACATCATGAATTCATGACCTAGACTATTCAAATGAGACAGTTTTAAGAGGATAAAAATATAAGAAAAAAAATTAGTCTTTCTCTTTCCTATTTTTTACTTGATTTTGAGAAGAAATTTACAAACGTGAAAATCATGTTTATAAATTTCTTATCTAATCAAACTCATATCAAACAAATGATTAATATTTCCTCTCTTTTTACACTATTTTGTCATTTTTTCGATGAAAACAAACATGGTACATAATTTTTTTTTATATATAAAATTGAGTTATTTCAAGCTTCAAATTCACATTCTAAAAAATATTGTGAAATGTTGAAAATTATAATTTCTTCCTACTCAGGAAATCTGCTTTACACTTTTTAGGTCAGATCATCCACGGGTGACACCCAAACATAATGAAATCATAATTATAAATATAATTTATTAAATTATATTTGAATGGTTAAAACTAAAAATAAAATAAAAAATTAAGATTAACTATAACTGTCTTATATAATCTTTTTACCGGTAAGAATTAAAATGATTGTACTAAAAGTTAAAGTTAGAAAGTTGTGCATACAATATGCATAATAATATTTTGTTTTGAAATTTTATACTGATGTGATACAAATAAGATCTAATATTATTAAAAGATAAATAAAAAATTAGAAAACACATATATTTTATTGGTTAATTTTTTAAAATAAAAATATGGAAATATAAATTTAAAATGAACAATAATTTTATTATCGTGAAAATGTATATATAAATACTTGATAAATGCCAAAAAAATATAATAATGGTCCTCTTAAAAAATATAACTCACAATCAAACGGACAAAATACCTTATTATATAGGCCTATATATATTATTATTATTATTATTTTTTTGCTTTTTCTTGTTTAGAGCAAATGGTGGTTATTTCCCCGTTGCTTATCTCAGGTTTTATAGAAAGGTAATAGCCGTCAACGTGGTTTTTCACGTTTAAAGAAAGCTACTAGTTATTGCTTTTGGATTTTTCACACCCAACAAGTGAATTTTAAGTTAAAATTGTTTCCAAACACGTTGTAAGTGAACTTTGCTGCTTTTCCTCCTTGTTGACTGTGCACGTCCATTTGAATCAATATCCTTTTGGCTTTTCTTTTGTTCAAATATGCTTTTCTTTTTAATCTTTAAAAATGTGTTTTAGTTTTTAATTGTTTTATAATTTGTGTATCATGAAATGATGTAACAACCAGTCCATTTGTCTTATTGTTTCACTTCTTATTAAGTTGAAAATTTTTAACACTGGTTTCTCATATATTGATTTTTTTAATCTGTTATTTAGATAATATTAAATTTGTCTTCTAACTTGTCACTTAATAAGAAGCCCTTATGTCATGTGAGACGCTTAAAATAAGAATAAACAATTAAGATTTAAGACAAAAAAACTGACAAAAAAAAATCTATTTAAGATAAAGAAAATGTACATTTTATAAGAAATAACAATATTAAAGTCGTTTTTATCCTTAACTAAATGTGGCAAACATCCATTTTCTACTCAATTATTCAATCCAAATTACTCTTCATCTTCTGTTTATATGATTGATCTATAAAATAAAATTATCAAATAATAAGTACTATTTAGTTACAAATGTAACGTAGGAAGAAAAAAAAAGGCTAATTTAGTAGCTCGGAATGGGCCGTTCCCAATCTGGAACGGGCCGTTCCAAGCTATTAAATTAAACTGAAATTCGTGGTTGAGAACGGGCCATTCCGGAAAGGAGAACGAGCCGTTCCAAATTCTAGAACGGGCCGTTCTAGATGGAGAACGGGCCGTTCCGGAAAGAGAACGGGCCGTTCCGGAGGGAGAACGGGCCGTTCCGGATGAGTTCCGGAACGGGCCGTTCTGATTTCAGAACCGGCCGTTCTGGGCGTTAATTTTGTGCGTGATTTGGGAGTTCGGAACGGGCCGTTCCGAACTCGGTACGGGCCGTTCTGGGCCAATCCGAAAGTCTATAAATAGGGGGTTGGGGGCCTTCAGGAGTTTTGGAGTTTTTAGAGAGAAGTTTTAGAGAGAAGGTCTCTGGGTCAGTGAGCTCCTTTCTCTCCCAAATTTCTCTGTTTGACTCCTTTTCTCCTCTAGATCACTAACTCCTTCTGACTTTTCTTGAAATTCAGATTAGAAAGCTTGTTTTGGAAGGACTGAAGTTCCGAGTTGAGCCTCGAGGGGAAATTATACTTTTGTTCAGTCTTTGGCTATCTGAGCCAATCTTCAGGTAAGGGAAGCTAGAATGTTTGTTATTTAAGTTGCATGTGAGTTTAGAAACTCAATTGATGCATGAAAGTTGAGGATCCATGGCTGGATCGGAGAATTCGCTAATTGTTCGAGGTCTTGGGAAAAATGGGGTTTATGGTGAATTTGATGCATCAGATGGGTGCATGTTGA